CGAAGATCCCGGAAGAACATCAACCACTTTTGCATTCGTCTTCATTTGGTCCTCTTGAAAGGAGATGTATCACATTTTTTTTTGAAGATTCCACAAATAAAAGAACGTCCTCATTTCGTGTCTTGCCACACCCATACAATAACCACGTTGATAACAAAATCAACCACTACTTCACTACTTGTGAAGTGCGTGAAGTGTGTGTTGCCTTTGAATGGTAGGATGAGACATTGCTTGGATGAAATGATGGGCTATACGCGTAAGTTGAAATGAAAGTACCTGAAAAAAGTGGTCGGAAAAAAAATATCCCAGTAATTGGATTTTGGTATATGAATGGGTGTATGGTTGAATGGTAAAGTGCGTTATGAATTGATGAGTGAAATAATTGATTATTGGATTTTAAGCTTTTCTCCGCTTTGATCCGAGAAGCGTAGTTCTGCGAAAAGAGCTTCCATGAAATGTTCGTATATACAATCGTTTAGYTAAGTGGATTCCAATGCAAAAACCTTTAAGAATAACTTCAAGAAATATATAAATGTTATTCAGCCATTACAATAAAGCGCTAAAACCATCCGAGACATAAYAAATGCAAAAGAAATTCATTTGGCGATTTTAAATATTGTTTTCTCAAAGACCTGTTGTCTAATATCGTACTACATCAACAGCAATATGTGTTACATAGTTTAATGTTTTGCCCCCGCAAACAAACACCTGGCTACCGTTTATAAGGTAAGTTTTGGTTCTTATTCAGGTAAACCTCTTGAGGATGTTATACGATAGCCATTACCGTTCAATACAATTGTCCGTTTGTTTGCAATCAATTATATTTTTAAACCATGTTGCCAGCCGAAAAAGGTAGAGCAAAATGAGGGGGGAAGGGGGGAGGGGGATTAGTTCTATTTCTTAATGCCATTGGGTAATAGGCACTGTGCAGAGACGCCATTTTGTGCAGCAAAGCATGATGGTAGCTATATTTCTCACACGTACTATTGAGACCCTAAAATATCTCCTTAAGTCCTCTACGCAGTTGTTTGTAGAAACGGGAAAAATACTTCTATTTTGGCTTAACAAAACATTTCAGAAGGGCTGTTAGCAGACATGAAAAAGTACGAAGACTAGAACTGCCATATGCTTTGCTGCGCACAAAATGCTGTCGCGGCACATTGCCTTTTGTCACATTTCTATACTGTTCAGTAGGCAATTACATTGCGTCGACAATTATAAACATAATAGAAATTAATATATACACTTTTAT